GTGAGATTCACCTTGACTGGACCAGCCTAGGTTACCTACTCAGCTTTGAACCAATGATAGTGGTCAGTGGTATGGAATATATTGATTAGTTTATGCTATTCAGGATCTGCTCCCGGAACTGAGAATAAGAATCAAAATAAAACCAGGATTCTTTTAGCAAATGCCCTCAATGCCTTGCTCATATCTCCTAGGCTCACCTTGGTGATCACCTCCACCTTTGATGGGCAGTTTCCATATACACTAAAGACTTCCGACCTTAAGCACCTGCAACTCTCTGCTAAGGTTATTCTCTGGCCACAGAAGCACAAGTGAAGTCTCAGGCATTATCAATTCCCAGGAACCACCCTCAACAGATGATGGAGTTTGATGGATAACTATTTCTTTAGGTTTCTTGATCTAGTGAGATAGTTCTTATGTTCCACATTTGTAGTGTCCAACACAATAAGCCAACACATGTGGTTATTACAATTTAAATTAATTGACAATAGATAAAATGAAACATTCAGTTCCTCAGTCACATTGGCCTCATTTCAAGTACACAACAATTGCATGTGGCTAGAGGTTGCCATATTGGACGGTGCAGATAGGTCATTCCATTGCACAGAAAGTTTTTTTGGGCAGTGCTATTCTGCATGGTCTCTCTCAGCATCCTCTCAGAACTGAGCACATGTTGATCACTTATTAATTCACCTTTTCTTAGCCTTCTTTTCTTACCTATTTTGTTTCCTCACATCTTTACTCTTTCTTAGTCCATTTGTGCTGCTATAACAAAATATCTAAGACTGGTAATTTATAAAGAACAAAAATTTATTTTTTACATTTTTGGTGGTTGGGAAGTCCAAAATTATGGCACTGGCGTTAGGTGTCTGGTAAGGGCCTTCCTGCTGTATCCTCACATGACAGAAAAGTGGAAGAACACAAACCCACTCCCTTAAGCCCTTTTATAAGGGCCCTAATCCCTGCCCTCATGATTTGATCACTGCCTAAAGGCTCCATCTCTTAATACAATCACACTGGTGATTACCTTTCAACATATGAACTTCAGGAAATATCCAAATTGCAGCACTCTGCTTCCTGGAATCACCTTCCAAATACGCTTGCCCCAAAGTCCTTGTCTCAGTGTTTTGAAGAATCCTAACCAAGGAAATACTCTTAGGAAGAGGAAAGAGAGGGAAGGATGTTGTCGACGACCAACACATGTCTTCTACATTCTTGCTACTCAAAGCATGGTCCACGACTGGCAGATTTTTAGAAAAGCAGAATCTTGCCAGGCGTGGTGGCTCACACCTGTAATCTCACCACTTTGGGAGGCTGAGGCAGGCGGATCACCTGAAGTCAGGAGTTCGAGATCAGCCTGGCCAATATGGTGAAACCCGTCTCAACTAAAAATACAAAAATTAGCTGGACATGGTGGCGGTCGCCTGTAACCCCAGCTACTCAGGAGGCTGAGGCAGGAGAATCTCTTGAACCCGGGAGGCGGAGGTTGCAGTGAGCCGAGACTGCACCCCACCCTGGGTGACAGAGCGAGACTCTGTCTCAAAAAAAAAATAAATAAATAAAAAGGAAAGAAAAGCAGAGTCTCAGGCCTCACCCCAAACCTACAGAACCGGGATCTGCATTTTAAAAAGATTCCCCAGGTGATCTGGCTACACAGTCAACTTTGAGATGTTCTACCTCATAGCTCTCTTAAACAGAGGGAGGAGAAAACAGAAACTGATAAAACACACCCTTCAAACAGGGCTTCTCACTAAAAAGCTCCAAAAGGTATATGTCATCATCTTCCATTTCAGGACTCTGGTGCTTTTACCAATGTTTACATTTTTCATTTTCATTTTTGTCTTGAGGATCTTATGGCCCACTAGCTTGAGCTCCCGTTTCCTTGAGAAGAAAAGCAACTTTTGTCCTTTGAGTTGACCTCTTTAGCACTGATTTTTTTCCTTTCTGTCTCTAGAGGGTCTTTGACTCCCCAGTTCAGCATTTTATCATAAGGTGGTCAGAGAGCCAACACCTGACAAAGTCCTACTCCGATGGACTTTCACAGCTGGCGAGCGAATAAACCCTCTCTCCTAAAGACAATGGGATTCTCTATCTACAGCCAAATTTGTTCTAATTAGCTGGCTCTCAGCTTTGCAGGACAAGTCTTTTGGAGGTTAATAATGCTATTTTAAGAATACCTGTATCTTGCCTGTGAATGAACATGATGATGTGAACATAAAATATTTTTCATTCCACAAAGAAAGACAGTCCCCATTCCCTATCTCACGTCTCCATTCTGGACTTGCTTTGTTTTTACTTATGTTCAAATCACACTTCCATTAGTGTTAATTCGGTGGCTTTTGCAATGTTTTTTTCGTTCTTTACCTAACAAGTGATTTCTTTGCTTAGCCCTGATGGAGGCATTTGTTTTGCTCAGGAATGTCTTTTGATTATTGGCCTAAATAAAAGAGCAATGTTTCATGCCAGGTGCTTAAATTTTTGCTTGAAGTGTGTCGGGACACAGCATCTTTGGCAGATATTTATCTAGCATCGGTTTAAGGAAAACTAGGCTTTTTCAAACCCGTGCTATCTGAATGCTGTTTGATTCTTGACCCTCATAAACGACATCTTAACTTTACCTACTGGTAATATGTGGAAAAAATATTATGTGACTGCTAAGGATCCGGAAGCCCTGAAAATTTGATTGCTAGTTAAAAATTTTAGGCAGCGTTCTGTAGGATCAGACCCAACATTTAGTTGTTTTGACAAATATAACATTAATTAAGATACTGCAATCCTTCCATACTGGCTAAGTTACCCTTGGAGTAAGCACCCCTCCACTACCACTGGCTGCCATTCCCACTATACCCTGCCTCCTCACGCCTGCTGCAGGAACCACTCCTTCCTCCCAACATTAACACCACCATTTCACCAGAACCCGGCACTAAAGAATACATGTCTGGCCTAGCAGAGGCCTTCAGGACTCAGCTTTAATGCCAGTGCCCCTGTGGCTGGCTTGACTTCAAATAAGTTGGCAGGTGGGTGCCCTGCTGTACAGGTTGCTAAATCTTTTAAATATCCTCTTTGTGAGAATTCAGTCGTCTTGTTATCTGGCTCTTGAAGAATGTGCAAAACATTCAGAAAACAGTCCTCAAATCTTTGATAGAACGTCCTGTTTGGAATGGCAAACAGAATTGTGCTGACCTGAAGACGGTTGAGAGTATTAGGTAACCCTTCTCTCAAGGATACAATATTTCCTTTCTTGGAGGTGAGAAAAGAGTTGAGAAACTAGATTGACTTAGGGGTCAAAATTGGACTCAGGTCATGTATTACATAAAACTAGATTTGCCTCCAAACTTTGCATTATTATTATTTTTTTTTTGAGATGGAATTTTGCTCTTGTCGCCCAGGCTGAGTGGAATGGTGTGATCTCGGCTCACTGCAACCTCCGTCTCCCGGGTTCAAGCGATTCTCCTGCCTCAGCCTCCTGAGTAGCTGGGATTACAGGTACCCACCACCATACCTGGATAATTTTACTATTTTTCGTAGAGTCAGGGTTTCGCCATGTTGGCCAGGCTGGTCTCGAACTTCTGACCTCATGTGATCCGCCCGCCTCAGCCTCCCAAAGTGCTGGGACTACAGTGCACTGTGTTCTTAACCTGTCTTTAGATTCCCCGGTTCCTTGTATCAGGTACACAGAAAAACGGAGTGTTTTCTGGCTTCCTCTTTGAGATGCCTTTAGGGCCCCCTAGTGGCTGTTTTAAGACCTCAGGTTTCTTAGGATTAAGGTCTCCTTGACCCTAATAAAAAAAATCAGACCTTTCCGAATCTCTTCAGTGACAGGTACAATAACTGTGTGGAGATAAATAGATAACAGTTGGTTTAGATAGCTCAATTTATTTTTTTCATTTTTCGGTTCTCAGCAAAAGCTGTGCTCATTCTTTAGAAATAACAGATATATCACCTTACATATTTTATTCTGCATTCTCATACTATATCGTAGAGGAAATCCTTTTAAGACATTTATATCTTGGTTTGTGTCAAAGGGCTATAATTCCTAGTAACTACATCCTACTTCAGGGTTTCCATGTATATTCATATACATATTTAGTTGCTTGGACTGGGGAGTTGAGGTGCTTTACAATTTTCCAACGTAACACTTTAAACGTGGGGGCTTGAGGTACTAACCAGAGGGCTCAGTATGTGGCATATTTCAGTCTGACAACATTAATATCATTTAGAGCATTAGCTATGCCAGTGACTGCAGGAACTTGCAAACTTTATTTGATAAAACAAAGCTTTTCCACATTTAAGGTGCTTATTGACCAATGCAAGTACATTTTGTGAAATCCACTAATAAGGCATTATGTCTTCAACATGCGTTACCGACCAGCGTGAACATTGCTATCTCCCACACGATGGTCACATTTTTCTTTCTTAGATTCTATCTAGAGAATGTACACTTGAGTAATTATAATGGAGATATTTTTTCCCCGCAAGCTTATCTTTTAGTTGCTGATGTTATTCAATTATTTCTCCTTCGCTTGTAAATTTCAGGTCTCTTTTCCTTTCCTCAGTCACGTTATCTTTATTAATATGCTAATATGCTGTAACAATGCATTTTACACCACTAATGAAGTGAAGCAAAGCAAAACGTAAAAAGAAAGTACAAATTCTGGCTTAAACTTTACCCGGTTCCGGGGCGGGGGTGGGGGTGAGAGAGGAGGAAGAGAGTAGGAAGGAAGGACATTCGGGCGGCAAAAAAATAAAAATGATCCCCTTGTTTTCAGCGCGTTCTAGAACAGAGCTGCACGTCAGAGGAAGAACTGAGCAGCCTTCGAGCTAAAACACTTGGCATTAAACTTTGACACTTCAACGGTCTCTAGAATATTAGGTAATAGTTTTTCATATAATGTTCTTCTCCGATACGGTAATGGCATCAAAACAGATCGGCTATGCCTGCAACGTGCACGGTGAGACTTATCCCCGCAGAGATAAGACAGCAGGACCCCAGCCTCGCAGTTAACTTATCCCGAAGCTCCAAAGCAAACGTCTTTTACTTCTTCGCCGGGGACGCTGCTGTGCCACCGCTGCCTCCCTTTCGCATTCTGCTGGGCTCCGTCAGCCGCTGAGATTAGGTAAACAGCGCCCCGGAGCCGGGGCAGAGCGGGCGCTGCTGCTGCTGGTGGGGGTCGTTGTTTCAAGAGGCTGGAGGGAAGGGGGATGGGAGAAGGGTCCCAGCTCGGTCAAGCCAAAGGCCGAGAGTGTGGTTACCCAGGCGGGAGCCAGGTCCGGAGCGGAGCAGGGGCCGAGCCTCGGAAGCCCCTGCCCACCCCCAGCCCGACCTCGAGGAGTGGGGTCAGCTCGGCAGCCCGAGCTCGGCGGCCTTTTCCCGCGCGCCCCCTCACCAGCCCATCCTTCCCCTGCCCCTTCCAAGAACCAGGGTGGGCTTCCCGCTGCCTCGCCAGAGTCCTGGAGCGCGGAGAGGCGCGCAGAGGGGAGGCAGAGACCCGGCGGCCCGCGCGGCTGGGGAGAGGTGGAAACCCGGGGGGAAGGGGACCCCAGAAGCCCTGGGACCGAGCTGGGGAAAAACCCGGGAGCTGGATCGCGCGCCCGGAGCTCCGGTCTCCGAGTCGGAGTTGTGCAGCCCTCGGCGTCCTCTTTCTCTCCCTGCCTCTCTGCTTTCGCCTCCTCTGGGTCTTCTCTCGAGGGCATCCTCCTTCCATCCATTCTCACACCCCCGCCCTTGTACCCCGACCCATTTCGCCCACTCCTCCTGTGGCTTGGGAGGACTCTCAGCACCCTACCCTCGTTCCTAGAACTGGGAGGCTGGAAGTCCATTCAAGGGATGTTGCGCGCCGGGTTCTTATGCCAAGAGGGAAAGAGCGAGAATAAAACCAGCAGGGGAGGGGCGTGTTGTGCGTGCACGGGGTGTGTGTTTGGGGTGGGGGAAACAGAATGTAGTTTCCTCAGAGGAACAGGAAGCCTTGGACAGGATTCTTGGAAACTGAGCCCAGAAAGATGCCGTCAGAGCCCTTCAGCGGGGCTCCTCACAGACTCCAGCTGCCCCACACCATGCCCACCTCTGAGAGAAGCGGCGACCCGAGGCGGGGAAACTTCCTACTTCTCACGACGGCTGTTTTGTGCAATTTGGGGAGCAGGCTGCATGGTCCTGCAAGCCTGCGAGCGTCTCTAACACGGCAGCTGCGAGCCCGTCCCGCTTCCCTTCCCCCTCTTTCCGCGAGGCACGCCAAACCCGAGGCGGCCGGGAGCGGCCGGGGTGGGGGGGAAGAAGGGCGGGGAGCTCTCAGCTTGCACCCTTTCATCCCGACCCGGCCC